GCGCCGGCTGAGCCCGGGCGGGTGAGCCCGCACGTTCCGCAGCCCCGGAGGCGGGCTGCCCCGGGTGGAGAAGTGCGGCGCGGCTCTGGCCCCGCTGCGTGGTCGCACCGCGTGTGCTGGGTGTAGGGCTCCCCGCTCCCTACCGTGTGAGCCTGTGGGAGTCGTGCGTGTCTTTCGGGAAGCCTCGGGCGGGGAGGCGCGTCGAATTCCCCTCTGGGTCTTGGTGTGGCTGCCACAGCAGACGTACGCCTGTTCCCGGCGGCGTGTGTGGGAGTGCGTGTGTAGTTGTCCACACGGAGTTTTAGGGTTCAGAAAGAGCAGGGGCGTCGTTGAAGTTTTGCCTTCCTGTAGTGTGGACAGATTTTTAAAATAGATGTTTCGTCTTTTAGAGAGATCTTTTTCACATTCATTTCGTAGAGTCTTACAACATTCCAGTCTTTCGGTATTCGTTCGTGTAGGTACTTTGGAGGATTGGCACTTCTTTTTACATTTATTTCGTACAATCTTCATTGAAAACATTCCCATCTTTCAGTTATCTTTTGTAAGGGTAATATGAAGAATAACGTGAGTATTTTAGAATCTAAAACTTTCCTCACGTATTGTGTGTTATTTGATTATATAGTGTGGGTTTTCTGGAGCGTGGAAGTTACTGTTTTTCTATGTTTTGTTTCCTGCAAGTTTTGGCAATGGACCTTAGTTATGCATAATTGTGTAGTACTGTCTTCTCTGTGTACAGTAATCATGTCAAATGGAATCAAAACTATTCTGTGCCTTAAATTTTTTCATTTCAAAACCAAATGTTTGCTATCTTGTCATTCAAAAAAGTACATAGCAAAGCAATTACTGTGTAATAGAACTTTTTAAATCCTTCATAGTAAGAGAAAATATATAAAAAAGCGCATAAAACAGACGTAATGAACAACTGTCAAGTGAACTGTGTAATCACTACCAAAGTCATGAACTAGAACACTGGTGGGCCCTGAATAGTACTTTTTCCCCACCCATTCCTGACATGCCCCTCAGCTAGATTTTTATGGTAATCGTGTACTGCCTTTTTTTCTAGCATTTGTAAACCACCTATCAACATACTTAAACAATATGGATTAGTTTTGCCTGTTTTTTTATATGTTATGTTATTTCATATCTTTTTAAATTCTCATGTTGCTAAGGTTTTACCTTGATAGATATATTTAGGTGTATTTTGTATATTTTTATTGTAGTGTGATAATAGCTATAGTGTAGTAAGTCTTTTGAAATAATCCATTATTTAACTAGTCTAATATTAATGAACATTTTGATTATGTTCAGTTTTTAGCAATTATAGATAATGCTGCTGTGAATGTTCATATATGTGGATTCTAACACACATAACTATTTTATATTGTGTGTGATTATCTTCAACTTTACTAGATTTTGCGACACTTTTCCATGTTGGATCTACCAATTTATACTCCCACAGCAGTATATAAAACATCTCTTTATTTCTTCAGTTTCACCAACAATTATGTCTCAATTTTGTCTATCCAATAAATAGTTTTATTTCATTGTTGTTTTAATTTACACCGTCCAAGGAGGTTGACCACTTTTAAAGTCATTGGCTGTTTGGATTTTTTTCTAGATTTACTTTCTGTTTACTCAAAGATTTGTAGCAGTATGACACATTTCTTTCTCTGTGCTCACTGCATTAATGTACTTTCATTTTAGGTAATAACTTCACACTTAGTTTTTCTGGCTTATATGCTAAATTGTTGAAACTTAAATTTCATAAAGTGACTACAGGAAGATAGTTCTCTACTTTTGCTTTCCACTAAGGTAGCTATTAGCTGTATGTGGCTTTTGAATACGTGAAGTGTGACTAGTTTGACTGAGAAGCTGAATTTTTATGTGGTATGAATTTAGAGGTGAAGACTGATACTTGTTTGAATTGTTATAAAACTTTTGTGAATTTTTATGTGGTATGAATTTAAATGTGAAGACTGATACTTATTTAAGTTGTTATAAAACCTTTATGCTTAGAATACTTAGAATTAATCTTTCTCATCTGTAAATTTTATAAAAATACAGAGCATTTTATAATTTAGCATATGAATTGTGATTTTCTTTAAAAACTAGCCTTCAAAGACATTATGACACCGAATTTGAAAATACCACAGCTTTCCAATGTGGTTATATATTAAAATTATAATTAGTTTCTCCTTGTTTTCATTTATCATTCAGTGTGGGTAGTTGGAATTAGTTTTGTGACTGGTTTCTCTTGGACGGTAGTGTTCTCAGCTATCAGTGTTGATGTTATGCACTTTTTTTGTTCTTAATATTTTACTGTGTTTTTGGTTTTTTTTTTTTGTTGTTGTTGTAGTTCCTTTTTTTTAGTGTAGTCTTGAGAAACACCTTAATCCAAAGAATCCTCCTGTTGACCACTCTTTAGTTACTTTGGTGTCTTTGCTTTGCCTTCAATCTTGAAGAATGTTTGGGGGTATTAAATTGTAAATGTGTGGTTATTTGGTTTTCACAACCTTGAAGAGAACATTCCACTCTTTTTTGGCTGCCATTATTTGATTTTGAGACACCTGTTGTTAGTCTAAATTCTTCCTGGTTTGGAACAAATCTGTCTTAAAGTAGTTTGTCATAGATTGTGTACTTTTTTATTCTGATATTGGATGGTGTTTTGTTCATGGACCGGGCTTTGGTGGACTTTGCATTGACTTTTTACAGTAAATAAGCAAAACTTCTGGTTATCTAAGCTTTGTTTCTCAGCCTTTCCTCTTCAAAGTAGATGTGCCATTTTTCATTCCATTAGCAATGAATGAGCATTCCCATTGCTCCTCCACATCCTCCCTGTTGTCATTGTTTAGGATTTTAGCTATTATAATAGATGTGGATTGTTATCTCATTGTTTTGTGAGATAAAACCCTAACCCTAATTTTTTAATGACTTGAAGTTGAGTATCATATGCTTTTTTGGCATTTTGTTTAATGAGGTGTTTAGATATTTGGGATTTTTTTAAAAAGTTTTTTTAATGTTCCTCTAGGAACTCCGTGTACTTTTAAACAGACGCATTTTTTCAAATATTTTCTTCCAATTTGTGTCTTCTGTTTTCATTAACAATGCCATTTTCAGAGCAGAACTTCTTAATTTTAACAAAGTCCAACTTTTTTTTCTGCACTTATTAGCAGTTGAACCAAAGGATGCCGTCCACTGAGCTACACCCAAAGTCCCATTGAATGATCGATTTATTGATTGATTGATGAAGCAGTCTTGCTTAGTTGTTTGAGTTGGCCTCAAACTTTCAATGCAGCTTGGGGTTGTAGGTGGACATCACCATACCTGGCTATTTCTACTTTTATTTTTGAGGGATAATTTCACCTAATATAAAAGCTAGGTGTTTTATTTTGTTTTGGTTTAATTATCTTTCAACATCTATATACCTCAGTTCACTTTGCTCTTGCTTGCAGTTTCTAAAGGGAGAACTGTTGCAGTTATCATTACTACACTGTACCTAGGGTGTTTCCTTTTGTCTTATTTAGGGATTTTCCTTTTGTCTTTGATTTTTCTATGGTTTCAATAAATACAATATCTCTAAGCAGAGGGGTTTTTTTGGTATCTATTCTGCTTGAGGTTCTTTCTCTGAGATTTCTGAACCTATGGCTGATTGTCTCTAAGTCAGGTATGGAAAAATCTCAGTCACTGGCCAAATACTTCTGTTCTTTTTTCTTCCAGTGTTTTTATTATATATACATTACAGCTTTTGTAACTGTCTCACAGTTCTTGGGTATTCTCTACCAACTTTTCATTAATTTTTTTCTTGTTTTAGTTTAGTTTGTAAGATAATCACTGACATAACTTTAAGCTTCATAATTGTTTTCTGAATCATAGCTACATTATTGAGCCCATCAGAGGCCTTATTATTGATTTTTTACTTCTAACATTATCTTTTATTTCTCTGAGTTGGCATATCTTTGCTTATATTACCCATCTGTAAACTATAGATTGTCTTTTTTTCTGATAGAGCTATAACATTAGCCGTAATTGTTTTAAATTCTATAATCTCTGCCGTATCCGAAGCTAGTTCTCATTCTTGTTTCTTTAAGGTGTTTTTTGAGTTTTTTTTGTTTGGGTGGAGGGGTTTGTCTTTTGTTTTTGTCTTTTAATATGCTGTCCTTTATTTAAAGCCACACCGGATGTGGGTTTGAGAACTGGGGAGTAAGTCTTCACCGAGATTTTACACATATGTATGTCACAGTAGTCCTATATTTATTGTTTGTTGTAAGTTTAGATCCAGTGCCTAAAATTTTGTCTTGTGTCTTTGTTTCTGTTCCACATATTTTCTTTTGGCTTTCTTAGGAGTTTCTTAAATAAAATCTGATCCATTTTGAACCAGAACTTCTTATGAATTAGACTTTTTAAAATTAAAACTAAATTGGTAAACCTGGCATCGTAGCATACCCCTGTAATCCCAGCATTTGGGAGTTTGAGACATAAGAGCATGAGAATGTAAAGTTTGAGGCCAGCCTTCGCAGCTCAGCAAGATCCTGTCTCAGGAAAAAAAAAGATTTAAAGTATGTTTGTCTATGCTTATGTATGTGTGTGTGTGTGATTCCAGACATACTGCTGAGGACTAGCATGAACTCAGAAGTGAAAGAAAAGCTTTTCTAGAGAATTAGAAAGCTTTCATTTGATTTTATCATTTTTGAGTATTTAAATATTTTTCTTCATTTTAATAACAATAAAGGAAAAGCCATGTCATCAACAGTTAACTAAGATTTTT